TAAAAGTTGTTAAAATAAAAATTAAAAAAATAACATACAAATAATTTCAAAAAGCCATAGCTCAATATAAACAGTAATAGAGTAAACCAATAAATAAAGATGAATAAATAATTAAATTTTGAAAGAAAATAGTAGTGTTACGTTTAGTTTTTAGTAAAAACTATTCATTTCTGAATTTAATTCAATAAAAATACTTAGTTTCTGTTTGATTTTCGATAAAAACCTCTGATTTTTGCTTTATAATCTTAAACTTGTTTTGAGTGTAAAAAGACCCCATCCCTATCGGGAAAAATTGTAATATTTGCTTATAAAGAGATTTGTAAATGTTTAAGGCGTTATCTTGTAGCCATCGCTAAACTGGTAGCTATTGGGCTGAAGCAATCGAAACGATATTGGCCATTCGCTGGGTAATCCAGTCTCTCTATAAAAATTTACAAACTGCCTAGCAGCCGGGGGGAAATGGCGTGGTGGCGTACTTTTTAAAGCATTTTGCAGACTGCATAAAAGCCCACCTCCGTTCTTATGGCAATTTCACGCTTGTCGCTTTTACCGCAACAGAACTAGGCGGAAATAAAAATTAAACCATCTTTATTTCTTGATTTTAAAGTTGAAATGCATTTATTTTATTATATGTAACATCCATTTCGTGTAGATTTTTGGTTTCATCTTCTTATTTTGAAATTCCTTATTGCCCACGTATATCTCCAAATAATCCGACTTAACTTATGCTATCAGTGTATTGTTGGTGTGATATTTATTCAAATAAAAAATACAAGATTTTTTTAGTTACTTCTACTCTACTTCGGTAAATTTGTATTTGACGTTCTTTTTGCAATGATATTATTTTTCCATATTACCAATTTTCCATGGTCAACTTAATCGGCAAACAATCTTTTAGTTCCTATTACTTACAGTTGTATGAAAAAAATTGTTTTGGTTGATTTTTCCTCAAAAAGTCAGCATAAGCACAGCCATTCACTGTATTCTCGAAGTAATTACAACAGAATATTTGAGAATTACAAATTCTGCACCCTACAATTACCGATGCTCGAACTCGCGGAAATAATTTTGTTTAACGGAGGATCAGTTATTGATCGATTGAGTGACGATTTAATAATCCATTACTATTAAAAGTATCTTAATATGAAAATAAAATTTTACTGAACAAACCCACATACTAAACCCGCACGACCTGTTCGTTTTGCAGAACTATTGGTTTTACTCGCCGTCAGACAGACTATCAAATAAGTTTACACTATTTAATATATATATATTTGGTCCTACTAATGAAAGTAATTATTTTTATTGATTTAATATTTTTTTGCAAAGTATGGTTGAGTTGAAAAATTAGTGTCACGAGAGGGACTCAATCCAGGACATCCGGATCAGTACCCCGGAGCTCTACGAATTGAGCTATCATGACTTTGTCCTCGAGAAACCAACTACTTAAAATGAAAAAAATTCATTGAAATGATTAGATGTTGTTTCCAGAAGCCCCACTTGTGTCACTAATTTTTAACCATACATTGCATAAAAATAATAAATCTTGTAGTAGCGGCGTATCTAGCCGAAGGTCGTGGGTTCGAATCCCGTTCGTGACACTGACTTTTTTATCTCAACTAAAAACCTTAATTAATTAAACGGTATTAATTGGTCAAGGGGACCACGAAAACGAGTGGAGCCCATCACAATCTTTATTTTTTATAAAAATATATTAATATAACATGCACATTCATATTTTACAACATTTTATTAAAAAGCTTACCTACTTAAATTCATAATTTATTATTATTATTATTTAATTTATTAATTATTTAATTTATTATAAAAATTCTGTAGAGCATAATAACTGTACTAATAATTACAATTAATTAAGGTTTTCAGTTGAGATAAAAAAGTCAATGAGCGGGATTCGAACCCACGATCTTCGGATTGATACGCCGCTGCTATACCACTTGAGCTATCGTGAGCTCGATCCACCCGGACACTAACTTCCCATCTCAACCGCACCATTTGAATTTTCCCTCCTTTTTGCCATTCTTCAAATGTCGTGTAATCAATTTGATTCTCGGCGAAAAATGAAGTGGCCACGGGAGCTTTAGTGAAGGTATACTTCATTTAAACTTATTAAATTCACTAGTTTCGTGGTCCGCTTGACCAATTAATATCTTACAATTTATTAAGGTTTTCAGTTGAGATAAAACGACAATAAACGACATTTGAAAAATGGCAAAATAGAAGAAAAACTCAAAAGGTGTGGTTGAGATAGGAAGTTAGTGTCCGAGTGGATCGAGGTCACGATAGCTCAAGTGGTACAGCAGCGGCGTATCAAGCCGAAGGTCGTGGGTTCGAATCCCGCTCGTACCATTGACTTTTTTATCTCAACTGAAAACCTTAATTAATTGTAAGATGTTAATTGGTCAAGCGGACCACGAAACTAGTGAATATACTAATAATACTACTTACCCCTCTCGCAAAATGTTTAATTAAAGTAATAAAAAATAAATATCCGGCACAATGATAGTATTATTTTTGGTTTAATTTTTCATATTCCTGGCACACACGTAACATATTTATGAACTAGAATTATACAAATGAAACTTTTACTTCACCCGTGTTTTACCAATTCTTCGATCAGTGCGTCTTTAATGGGACCACCTGTAGATAAATGTAGTAACACAATTTTTTATTCAGTTTACAAATTCTTTGCACAGTTTTGCTAAGAGAATAATATTGTATTTTTAATGTCACCTTTTCTTAAACACAATAACAAAATAGCTTAATAAGGTAAAAATGTTATATATAAAATATAATATAAACAATAATTTCAAGTTTATTAAAGTATTAATGCTAAATAAATGGAAATTTCACTATTTCCTATTGTTTAATTAAATAAAATAACTGTTTAGCAAAAGAAATTATAAAAACTTATTATTATGTTCAATAATTTAAGAAGTACATTTTTCAGTAAAATTTTTGTACAATGTAAACCTTCCTTGATCATCCACAAGGTCTGTAAAAATTCTTAAAAAATACAAAATTTTACAATGATATGAGAAATTTAACAAAATCAAATAAGTAAATTTGTAAAGGAAAATGAAAAAATTCAAGTAAGAAATATAATTAAAAGTCGAGACAAATTCCTACCGAAAAAAATTATCAGCTCGTCAGATGATGTTCAACACAGAATTGCTACCTTATTACAAATATTGTCAATTTGTTAAACTTAATAATTAAACTGAATTTAGACAATATTTTAATGAATTTTTCCAAATCAATATTAATGTTGCTGCTTGTAAGATAATAGGTAATAATTTGATGTTCATTATTCTGTGGCAGTTTCCTAAGTTTGACTAACACAGCACCATCTGCAAATATTTCGTAATGTGTCTGCATTTAATGCAAATTCCGATGAACTTTGCGATATTGATTTTACAGAATATTTGTTAGTTGTATATATATTTATATTTTTTTAGCTTGAAACGTTTATTGTAGTTTTAGTTGTAGTTGAACTTGTGTGACATTTTGCCAATATAATGTTTAATAGAAAATTACAATTATTCCAGTCAAATAAAATCTGCAAGTGCTATAAAAACAAAATTCAGTTATTACGATACTGCAAAGAACATTTTTATGTTAAACTTTTTCAAGTTCCTAATTTATCATATATATATATATATATATATATATATATTATATGTTCAAAAAATTGCTTTGTAATAGTCAAAACGTGAACTTAACGTTCAGTTGATAGTTAATTTTTTATATATTCACGATCAGATATTTGAGAAGGTACTTTTAATCTAAAACATTGGCGAGTAAGTTGGTTGAGTGGAGAGGTTTCGGAACATAGGATTTTCTAGTTTGAAGAGATTCTGTAGTGTCTTTGACGTAGGGCTTGACTAATGGATTTCTTGTGCGACTTAAAACTAACTATTAAGCGACAAATAAACGAGACATCCTGTTAAACGAAATAGACAGGACATGTTCCAGGATAACAAAAATTTAAAATAATAAACTTTTTTGATTTATGTTTTTCCTATTTATATAAAATGAGTAAGGGATGGATCATGAATGAAAAAACCGGCAGGGGCATATCTAGTAAAATACTTATTCTCACTGGCCATAGTTATTTAAAAAATTGTCAAACGAAGAAAGAAAGCAAAGAATATTTATCGTGGAATGTATGAATTCAAAGAGAGCTAAAAGAAGAAATTGGAAGGTATTTGGGACACGAGGGCCAAAGAAACTGCTGTCTCACAGCAATCTAAAGAGGGTCAAACTAAGCCATTCATGGAGATTGATCTTGACTATTAGACTATAATATATGTATATGGGGAAGAATACAATAGTCTATGCCCTGGAGTTTTCAAGAGGGGAAGTACCTCCTTTTCTCAAAGAACTAATCTAATCTAGATGTAGGGCGTTCTTCTGGATAACATGAATAACTGCTATCGGTTGTGGTCCGCATACCCTCGCTGTTAGATCGGCGTCCGATTATTTCAAGAGGTTCGTCTCTGTTGCTAGTAAAAAAGTAAAAACACAAAATGCTATAAACAATTGTCAATGAATTTAGCAATTGGCATCAAGATTTTTTTTAGTAACCTAGTAGCACTGTTGACTATTTTAAAAGTTACTATTTTTGCACGTTGTTATATCACATTTTATCATTTTTGCTGTTTTTGTATTAAATTTTCTATTACTATCCATTTTATTGTGACAGGTAAATCAGTAATAAAAATCCATGACTCATTTTATAATTTTCGTTTTTTTCGTATTTTTTGTTATCCATTGGGTATTGCGGTTAAGTTATGCATTTTGCGATTTGGTATTTTATGGTATTTTTATTATAATGCTAGTTTAGACAAATTGTAAAAATTTGAATCCTTCAGGATTATTTTTTTCCCATAGGCAAGGAATTTTCTGTAGTTCCGTTGTTAATATTGAATATTTCTGATAATTATAAACGTGAGTATAACAATTAATTCGTGTTTTTTTACCTGGAGCAGTGTTGGCAAGGCAGAAAAGGAGAGCGAGCTGGAGAAGTACGGTAGAAACTGAGCAGTCCATGATTTTTATGTGACGAATCGAAATATCATTTTGAAAGGGGGCAGCGCTATATCCGATCCTCACGGGCGGCGGCGTCTGACTGGAGTGGAAAAGAGGCGGCTCGACTCCCACCCCCGGAGGCGGCACGACCGCCCCCGCCGCGCCGCACCGTCAAGGCATTTTTCACCCTTTTTGCACTTGCGACTCACCTAGGCAAACGTGCCGTTACGGTTTTGTAGCAACCGGTCTTTTGCGGTCCCTCCCTCTCACAATTAGCCTGTAAAAACAAAGAGCTTTATGGTAATATAACTGGCTTCTTTTCTTTTCAACCTTTCCTCAAACTTTCCACAAAATCGTTTACAAACTGACTGTCTCAACCGAAATCGATTATTAATGTTAATCAAAATATGTAAGTATAATTTGAAAAAGTGCTTAAAGAACTACATTATTCTAATTTTAAATATATTTTGAGCAAATTTGTAAACGATTCAACGTCTTCATTGTCATTTACCTTTTTTTATTGTAAGTGTTATTACATTAAAATAACTACCAAGTTACATTAAGAAAATTATAAAAATGCTACATTGATTTTCTGAAGCAATACATTTGATTTGTACATTGTTTTATATCTTTTTGTTCACTTTCCCACTCCCCCCCCACACACACACACACACGGACTCTCCCCCTCGCTCACTCACTCTCTCTCACTTTCCCTCTATGCTTATCTCTTTTTATTCTACCGCTCTCACTTTGTCTCTCTTTATTCTATCTCTATCAAACTCTCACCCACTCTCCTTTCTCCCTCCTTTTCACTCTCACTCTCTCGCTCACACTCTCTCCCACTCTCTCTCTGTCTCTCTCTCTCTGTTTGTCTCTTTTTATTCTATCTTTATCTATCGCTCACACACTCTCCTCTCTCAACCTCTCTCTCTTTGTCTCTCTTTATTCTATTTCTATCTATCTATCTCTCACATATTCTCTTTTCTCCCTCTCTCGCTCTCCGTCTCCTTGTCTCCTTCTCTCTCTCTTTCCCTTCCTCTCTCTCTCTCACTCTCTCTCTCTCTCTCTCTCTCTCTCTCTCTCTCTCTCTCTCTCTCTCCGTCTATGCTTGTCTTTTTTTATTCTATCTTTATCTATCTCTCACAGACTCTCCTCTCTCTACCACTCTCTCTTTGTCTCTCTTTATTCTATCTCTATCTAACTCTCACCCACTCTCCTTTCTTCCTCCTTTTCACTCTCTCTCTCCTTCTTTCCTTCTCTCTCCTTCTTTCCTTCTCTCTCTCTCCCTCTCTCTCTCTCTCTCTCTCTCTCTCTCTCTCTCTCACCCTCTTTGTTTCTATCTCTTTTTCTCATTACGAATAAATGATTTTCAAGAATAGCTAAATTTAACAATTTTCAATAAGATGGTAAAAACTATTCCCACCCGGTTATTACTTTAAAAAGACTAAAACGAACTGTAGAAAACTAGGAAATCATCCCTAATCACCAATTCGGATACCGGATAAGAAAATCAACAATATACAAAATTCACCGAGTGAGGAATGTGGTAGAAAAATCACTCACAATTATCACTGTGATTAAAAAGGGATACTACGAAAGCAGAATGTTGATATCGTTTCCTATTTATCTGACAGACATTTTAGGGTCAAACGAGAAGGAAAATAAGCCGAACTAAAAACAGAAAATACAAATGTGCCAAAAGGTAGCATTCTAGGTCTAATACGTTACGTTCTATGCATCGGTGATTTTCTAACAAGTCGATACCGTAAAAGATATTGATAATGTATTATTTATTTTCCCTTCAAATAAACTTATTTATAATATTTGTATAATACATATAATATTTGTTTAATAAATTCTCGTCATTTTGAAATATTACTCGATAAGTTATTTAAAAGTATACATGATTAAAAAATAAATCTTTTTTGCAGGAGAACATCCATTTCATTAATAACTTCTGTTGAATTTGAAAATACTTGGCTTTCAGTTAATTTCAAGAAATCGCATTTTCAATCACTTACAGAAATCCGTCCTTTGGTTATTAGGGAACTGTCGCACATTATTAAATAAATAAGTTTATTATTAATTACGGCATTAAACATGTATTTATAGAAAAGAAAAAATATTTTTATCAAATTATTTGTCTATTTATCAATTCATTGGTTTACATATCCACCTTCCACCTTACCAATCCGTCAACCACGGGTTTTTCTTTTCCTTCATCAATTGCTTCATCTATGAAGAAAGTAATTTAGAAAGCAATTACACTATTTAAAGAGACATTAAATGGAGTACGTTTTCTGAAATTTGAAAATAGTAGTTTAGAATCACGACAGTATATTTTGTAAATTTGAAAAAAAAAATTTTTTTCAAAGTTCTGGCTACTAAAACGCTTATTTAATCAACATTTACAAGTTTAGTATTGATCCCATCTTATTAAAAATTTAACGTAATTTTCAATAGTGCCAACGTATTTGTTCAAAACCTTTTAGTTTTTCAGTTTCCTTTTTATTTGAAGCAAGGTCGTAATATCTTGAACAAAAAGGGGAATAACTCCGAAACTGTTGTGATTCGGAACATAGTTAAGTAGAACATTTCGTTCCAATTCAAATATTTATCTCTCTTTGTTCATTATCTATCTACCTATCTATCCATTTGTTTCATAAAAATGTTCAAATCATTGGTCATTTCTAATAAGTGGATGTACTACAATAGTCTAATATTACTTGAAAACATAATTGTTTATGTATGAACTAATCGGTAAATTAATAGTTCTTATTATTTAGCAAGAATGGTTTATTGTGTCCTGATTTAGAAAAAAGGTTTATTTTCAATAATGAATTGTCAAAAACATTTTCTATTTTATATGAGCAATACTAAATTACACTATAAATGGAGTATACAATGAGCTAAGTGCGTAATGTTCGTTAAAAACGGTTCAGCACGGTGTAAGTGGATGACTTTACAGCTTTATAAGAATGTACTATGCTCTATGACAATTTAGAAGATAAGTGTAGCAGATTACTTCACTTGATATTTGTTCTCCACGCTCTGGCTGGCACCTCCCTGGCTTTTTTCTCCCTCGTTCCATGTCTTAACTGCAAAATATTTAATGCGGTTACAACGGATGTTATAAAATTTTTATTAGAGCCGAATTAGGGAGAGTTATTGATGAGGTTTTAATTAGTTCCTTTGCTGCTGCCTTTACGGAGCGCGCGTACACGCATGCCCGCCCACCCTTAATTGCTTATCCTCTCATTGATATTTGTATGTCTATCTTCTTCCGCTTCTTTTTTTATTAAAATAGCCCAAAAACAGTCTAATTGCTGATAAAACTTTTGAATTACCTCTTTAATCAGCCTTGCATAAATTCTAGTTTTTGTACTTAATTTTTACCCACGTATAAAATCATACGTATTTTTATTAAAAATAACGATTCAAAAATTACAACTTGTCGACTAAACTAGCTATTAATTAATATGATTAAAGTGAACTTTACCAACCAATACTTACCCTAGTTGATGTGAATTTTTCAACACTTAAAGTAATATGCCATAAAATACAATATATTGGTTAGAAGAAAATTTAGAGTAAAAAACTGTTTTTTTCTTACAATTTACCCTCCTCGTACAAAACTATTCTTAGTGCAGAGTTATTTTCAGCAAACCATCAATTCTCTTCCGCTTTCATCTCATTCTAAAAAAAATTCGCCTTCTTTGGCGCTGAACTGCAATAATGTTACCTTCCTTTTCTTTTTTTTTATTAAAAAAAGGCCGCCTGAATTATTCAAAAAGCATGTGCACTGACAAGGGAGTAGGCTGGGGCTTTTTTTCAGAAATTAATATAATACCACAAAATAAAAAATTCGCTCAAATTAAAAGATAATTAATTCACTAATTTCGTGGTCCGCTTGACCAATTAATATATTACAATTAATTAAGGTTTTTAGTTGAGATAAAAAAGTCAATGGCACGAGCGGGATTCGAACTCACGATCTTCGGCTAGATACGCCGCTGCTGTACCACTTGAGCTATCGTGACCTCGATCCACTCGGACACCAACTTTCCATCTAAACCGCCATTGACTTTTTATCTCAACTTAAAACCTTAATTAATTGTAATTAAAAAATAATGCTTATAGCGTTGCTGATCTCTTGTCGGTCCCTCAATGTGGAAATAGGTTTAAAAAACTGAAAGAAAGAATTTAAAGGAAAAAACTGGTGGTCAAATGATGTCAACTGGCTTTGGGAAAAAACTAACAATTTGTTAAAAATATAAAATTAAAATAAATCCTTGTCATTAATACAAAATTAGTAAAAAATTGATAAAATAAAAATGACCTTTTAAAAATGAAATCGAGCTAGCTCCAGCGTCTATTCAAATTTTGCAATTAAAAAAATAAAAATAAAATAATTTGACTCCAGTTCTTACATACATGCATAAACGAAACAACATGATTTTTTTTTAGGCAAATATTTTTGGCACTTCTTGTTCTTCTTTTTTCTTTGTTTCGGCTTGCGTCCAAATTCTCTCTTCGAAAACATGATCCAATCTGTGCGTCTACTCTTTTTTCAAAATTTACGATCATATGCTCCATATTCTATTTTGGCTTCAAATAAAAAACTGTCATACTGTGACAGAAGAAAGATTTTGCAAAAATTATTACCGTCCATAATGGAAAACGAACAAAAATATACAAGAAAAAGCAGACCATAATTACTACTTATCATTATATAATTAATATTAAACTACCCGTCCAAAATATAGACTTATATATCGTGTAGTTTTAATTCATAACACTCGGTTTGGATATAAGCTCAAATCTGCACATTTGTACATAAATATATAATTTATAATATACACATGTGCACAGTTGAATCTATCCATTTTTGCTGTCCACCGGCAATTCCAGCTATTGTAATTTACAATAAACTACCTGCAGGGTTAGGATGTTGGCTCTGCCGGGTCACACCTCGGTCTTATTCGTTCATGCACCGAAGTTTGGCTCCAGGACTATCAACAGATTGGTTATTCCAACTACCATCGCTTGATTTTTTTAACCGTAGTCACACTATCACTCATAAAT